AATAATAAAAACTAACTCTTAATGTTATTTACAATCTGTAATATTAAATATCAATCACTTAACTTTCTTATTATCGATATATGTATTTTATTATTTCGACGATAATTACTTATACACTTAAGCACGAATGGTGAATATAAAAGCATTTATAATTAATTCTCAAAAATGATATATTGTAATATAACTTTATTATATTGTATATGGTTGAATTCGGAAAAAAATAATCTCTTGAAACCGAAAAATTAAAAAAAAAATATTTTCCATTTTTTATATTTTCGACGATATTCAGTTCAAAAAAGAGAAATAAGTTTTTTTTTTCATTAAGATATTTCATCCTTTAAACAGGAGTTTAGCATCCGTATAAATAATACATGTCTCTTATATTTTTGTGACTACATTTTGTCTACATTTTTAACAACATATTTCATGGAGAATCGGACAGTTACAAAACGTCTCTTGTCAGTTTTACTTGTGTGTAAATGAAAAACAACTTATATATTGTTGATCATTTACCACAATAATGTTAAAATAAAAAAATTGTCATTTTTTTTAATTGTTTGCAAAAAAACGGGAATATAGAGAAAATAGGAAAATATATTTTAAGCAACATGATATTGTCCCTCTATTTATTACATAAAAATTGTAACCCATTAAAGCCCATGCCTAATACAGCCATAATAGCGCTGAATACATGATTCATAGCATAAGCGAAAAAAAATTACCTGTGTTATTTTGTTTTGCAAAATTAATTGTTTAAACGATAGTTGTTTAAACAAATTGTTTAAAAATATATTTTTAAAAAACTAAAAATGCTATTCGATTCTATGTCGAAAAATAAGAAACTAGTACCTGCTATTTTTTAAGATGTATTCAAGATAATGCATAACAATGAAACAAATTTGTTTCTGATTACTATCATTTCGAACATTGTTAAATAATCAAGAATAAAAATTTCTTGTTTTCGAACGTAAAATCAAATGGCACTTTTAGTTTTTTAAAAATAGACTTTTAGTTTTTAAAAAATGGACATTCTTAAATAATTTGTTTAACAATTTTACATTGTTAAACAATTATTGTTTAAACAATCAATTCTACAAAACAAAAAACACGGATAATTTTTTTTTGCTTATGCTATGAATCACGTATTCAGTTTGGCGTTATTACGGCTGTATTAGGCATGGATTAATATTACAAAATTTTTATAATTTAATTATAGAATATTCAACCTTATATTTTGAAATACTCTTTTTACGTTATTTGTAACAAAAATATTGTAACAAAATTTGAGTTCTGCAATCGTATGTTATATGTACGATTTATTGTAGCTGCAATAAATCAGCGATGTTATACTCACAGATTACATTGCAAATGAAAATCATAAAAATGAATAAATGACTATGTTCAATAGAAATAATGCAGCTTTGTAACTATTATAAAATTCTTTAATATGATTCTTGCCTTAGTTTCAATCTAAAGCAGTGCTCGGCATTAAATGCACATTTCGGGTCGATTCCGGCGCTATGCTTACCATCGCTCGAGGCTCAGCGGCTGAGCTCACGTGACGTTTTAGCTCTTCAGGAGTGTCTCTGCTTAAACGTGCGGAGATCGTATCTTATGTTATTAAAGAATATTTTTCAATTTTTATAATATAGAACTAAAACACTCAAATTATGATATGAGTAAATATATTTATATATTTATATCAACAATCAAAATTTTGTAACAGACGTTTTAACCCCTGTCGAATCATTTTCAGTGTTAAAAATAATTTTTGAAAAGTTACCGGTAACTATGGAATATCTTTACAAATTGAAATATAAAATATAAAAAACACATGTTTTACTCGCATGTTGACAAGAAGAATTATTGTGACCTAGACACAAGCAGTTTCAAATTGAACTTGATGTTAGTTGTAATTCGCATAATAATCGCATGAGATCTATTATATCTTGAAACTTCTCCACAAATTTACAATAGATTGATATCGTGAATTCATATAAAAAAGATATATACACGCTTCATGTTCCTTATACGACTATAATTAACAAAAATAATACCATCACTAATAATATTATATTATAATTAACGATGCCAAAATTTATTGTGTCATTATACGAATATATTTTACATTATATTAATTAAAAGCCAATTATTAAAAGTTACTTAATAAATAAGTAGTAAATACCTAATGATAGAAGTTAGATTGTCCAAATTATTAAAAAAAAAAAAATTAAGTATTAACTGCATTAAATATTCAACGATATCACAAAGATTCTTAAAACAGTAGAACTCCGAGATGTAACCAGAACATTCGATAGATAAAATGATCTTGCTATCTATAATAAGAGAAGTGGAAAGAGAAATGACATAGGAAGGGGAATTCATGATGTAGAAAAAGATTGTAAGAGGGATAAATATACGTATAGATATAGAGGATGTCTGTCTATTTATTCAAATCATACTTTTGTTTTTTAATATGGACTATTTCAGAAATGAGTCTCTTTTATAGTTAGACTCGTCTAAAATTTCAATATGTTTCCATTTAATCATGATTAAAATTAATATGTCAATCAAATTAATATGATAGTTAGAAATCATTGAAGAAGACCCTTTTCTTGTTAAATGTTAGATTGATGTTCTTATATTTTAGTTTATAATCTCCTTTTTGTCTGACCAATAAGCTATTGAGCTAGCCTCAAACATTCAATCTTAGAAACTATGCCCTATTTTGAGAAATGGTCTAAATAAATCCTTACTCCTATATATAAATTTTTTTAGTGTGTTCGATATAGTGAATGTTGTCTTTAGATTTATGAGCTAAAACTTTCAGAAATGGATTTTATATATTACACGTATATATTACAGATACGTGGATGACATTATCCTAGTTCCACAATTTCAATTAAATTGCATTTTCGACGTCAAATAGATATCTTAGTTTTTATTCAAATCATCTTATTTGTCATAAAAAGGAGTAGAATAGGATAGAATTCTTCTACTTCTCCATACGCAATTTCATCAAAAAAATTTTTAACCATAAGCATCCTTTTAGAAAATGAATATCTATTTTCTTCTATTTTTTTCTGCAATTAGATAAAGATTTAAATTCCACTGCTGTCCCCATCCTAACACAAGGTTGCTTAAAAAAATAAGAAATATTTCACCATATCAATATTTATAAAATCAATTTCTGAAAGTTTTATGTCGAACTCTTGGCATACATCTAAAGATAGCATTTACTAAACATGCTAAAAAAAGAATTATGCCCAGTTTGAGCCCCGATTAAACAGCACTGAGACTTAGTTAGGATTGTAGAGCATAAAAAAAATATTAAAAAGTTCCATATCCACAATTTTGTAAAAGTAAAATGAGTCTCTTGAGTTGCTACAGCTGTTCAAAGTTCGCTATTATAATCATGTATTGTGTATCATAGGACTGGTTTGATTCGATTTCTCGAATCATCAGTATCTGAAATATATCCAATCTTGACGAAGACAACTAAATCTTTTTTGGATCTTAAATAAATAGTTATAAGTGATATTAATCGAAGAGAGGAGAGAGACACTCAAAATGAAACTAAAAGTTTAATTGATCACATTGGAAATGTGACCAATATATGGACCTTATCTCTCTTCAGCTTCTTCACCGGAACTTTCTAAAAATAAAAAAACATCATTAACTGTTCTTGCTGGCATATGAAATTGGATAAGACTAGTGGTCATAATAACGAAATTTGGATAGTTCTAACACTCAAGAAACTTCTTCTATAAAGTTGGGTTTATTGAATTTTTGATTCTCTTTTGATACTTTGAAATTTTAGGCGTCTCAAAATTGTTCATCCCAAATTCTCCTATAAAACTAGGTACAGTCCTTTTTTTATACATAGGGGTATGGACCAATTAGATCATTTCTCAAAACAGGATGTAGTTTATAAGATTGAATGTTTGAATTGTGAAGCTAGCTGTTGATCAGACAGAAGGGAGATTACAAACTAAAATACAAGAACATCAATCTGTTATTAACAAAAAAAACAGGTCTCCTTTAATGATTTCTGACCATCGTATTAATTTTAATCATGATTTTAAATGGAAACATGTTGAAATTTTAGACAACGAGCTTAACTATAAAAAAAGACTCATTTCTGAAATAATCCATATTAAAAAACAAAAATTGAATAAACAGATAGACATCGATCCTCTATACGTACATTTATCCCTTTTACAATCTTTTTCTATATCTTTTTCTATATGAATTCCCCTTCCTAGTCTTCTTCCTTCATTTCTCTTTCTTCTCTTGTTAGATAGCAAGATCACTTTATCTATCGAATGTTTCGGGCATTACATCTCGGAGTTCTGCTGTTTTAAGAATTTTTGTGATATATTATATTTGAATATTTAATGCAGTTAGTACTTATATATATATTTAATGCATTTAGTACTTAATTTTTTTTTGTCTAATGATCTGAAAGTATAAATCAATCATATTAAAGTATCTTACAATAGATAGAATAGCAAAGCTACTTACTTGGCTACGCACTGTCATTTATTTTGACTTCGAGTTTCGTTTTCAGTGTAATTTGAGAATTAACCATCAACGTAGAGCATTATATTTTGAGAGTTTTTTCTATAGGTGTTAATTTTCAATTATGTGTATCCTTCAGTTGGCGGTACGAAATCATACCCTAATTTTAGTTTTTTTTTTAAGTCCTTAATATTTTAATTAAGTCCTTTGAGAGCTTTTTTTTAGTTTTTAATGCCCGAAATTAAGGATTTTTTATAAGGGTACGATTGTCATTTAAGAAAAATAAACGTGAAACGCAGTAAAAGTTATAATGTGTTTAAATACAGATTAGATATTAATAAAATAAGTGTTATTAATAATACTAAAATAAGTGTTAATAGGTTACATTGATTGCATTTTTTCAATTTTACTTTTAATAACATTACAATTTTATGAATTTACCAGCATTAATAAAAGATGTGTAGAATCTCTATCCGCTTTTATACGACAGAACGCAACAGGAAGAAATAGGACATTGTAGTATTAATGAACTACCAACAAAGCAAAGTCATTAGAATTAGTTTAATATGCAAAATAATATACTTATAAATTATTTTTTTCAGATTTGCAAAAAGAAAAAGAAAATTAAATGAATTTAATTTCACAAATAAAGTAATCTTCAGTAATTGTGTATAATAGACCTCACCTATTTCAATGACCTTGACATATATTGTCATGAACATTCTCCTGAGTAACCTGCAAAAAATTTTACGCATATTTCATTATTAAAAAGTTTTTAATAAAATACATGTATAAAATTTTTCGCTTTATTAAGACTGGTGAGTTTTATATACTATTATTTTTTATATACCATTAGTTTTATATACTATTATAATAATGGACATATAATAATGTACATAAATATAGCAGACCCCTATATAAGATGAAATGAAGAAGAAATTTTTTTTGTCTTACTGATAAACTTTACTAATAATAGACTGTACATGAATATAACAAACACTTACGCAGAAGTGCATGGTCCATTTTTATTATATTGTAAGACTTATCAGTTTTTAGTAAGGCGAAAAATTTTATACTTTGCGTAAGAGTTTGCTATATTCACGTACAGTCCATTGTTAGCAGGACGAAATGCTGAGGAAGAGAAATATAGAATAAATAACTAGTGTGGAAAGTGGCTTATTTTCTAAATAAAGCATTACAATGTAGCGGCAATCGCTGAAAGTTGCAATTGCTGTCAAACGTATTATAACAAACAATGAGCTCAGTGCGACAAGGCGTTTCATTACAATAAACATTTATTCCTTTTTGTTGCGCCAGAATCCAATAGATTTTTCTAAAAAATATTCTCACAAGCTAAAGGTAAGTTTGTTAATGCTTACATTACATAAACACTTTTAATAAATAATGTTGCATAAATAATATTATGCCGATTAATTGCTATTTCTAACTTGTTTATTACTACGGAAAGACTTTGTCATATGACGATATACAAACAATATGAATATAGTGTATAATAATTGTGTTATAATTGTGTAATAATAATAATGAAACATCGATGATATGATTTTATTCGAGAAATAAATTCCATATTAACAATTTATTCATAATCAGATTATAGAACGTATCCCATATCATCAATTTATTTGTGATTAGGTTGTAAGTGTATTCACAACAAATAAGAGTCTAAAGCCTGTAACAGTCGAAGCTGGATCTTAGATGCTTAAATAATTTCTATGTGAATTTATATACCGCATATGTAGTTACTTGAATTGCGCGCGGAATTAATTTTTCGGACTAGAAACGCAATTGCAATATCATAAATAAAAATGCCAAGCGATTTAATAATTTGATGTTCAATCAAGCATTCTATTAGAGAAATGTTAATGTGCTAAAAATTTATATAAATAATTGCGAAAAATATTACCGGCTGGAAGTCGATCTCTATGCTGTGCGAGCGTTCCAAGCCTTTGTATATGGTAACAAGGCCTTTATATAGGCGTATTCTTTGTGCAATGATTTTTTATTTTTTGTAAACCCCCATATTAAGTTACAAGTAATGAAATAAAAATTTATTTATAAAATTATTCATAAACATTTACAAAAATTGATCTTAGTTGCTAATATTTACTATACATAGTAATTTAATAATTCAAAATTTAACTTTGTTCTTTATTATCTATGCGTAATGACGTCCAATAATGCTATTTTATTTTCTGTGTATTATTGTACAAAAAAATATAAACTATTTTTAACTTCATCTTAATCGATTTACATAAAGATTTGAATTTTAATTATTTATTATTATTGTATTTATTATTGAAAAAACGGCGTGGTATTGAGTGATTAAGTTATTCAATCATTCAATACCACGCCGTTTTTTTTTATGAAATATTTATGAATAATACAATAATATTATGAATAACCTCTGTTTTATAAGAAACATAAGGAACATTTTATTCAAAGTAGTGTCCTCGTTAGTCATCACCTTTTCTCATTTTTTACGTAATAATTCCGCGAGAGAATAGATAGAAAAACTCTGATTCTTCTGAAGCGATTCAGTGTTCAAAGCAATTTTTCACATCTTCATATAATGAGATGCTGCTAAACAAGACCATGCTGCATAGGACGAAACAAATAGAAATCTGAAGGAGTCAAATTTGGGAAATACGGTGTGTGAGGTAACATATTCCAACCGAGTGCTTCCAATGTATTCTTAACTTGTTTCGCAATATGTGGCCGAGCATTCATATAGCGGAGCCACTTTGTCGTTCGGCTTTCAAATTCATTAATAATCCTCGGTAACGTTCATCATTGATGATCTCACACGATTGCAACTCATAATATACCTTTTTGATCTCATCAAATACACAAATGATCTTCCGTTCATGAATATTGTGTTTTGGCGTTGATAACAATGGCTGGCGAGATTTGCTTCATGTTTTTCGTCGCTTCGGATGTTCATAGTGGATCCATTCTTAATTTCCAGTAATGATTCGATGAAAAAATGACCTGTGATGATAGAAAAATTCTGTTTTCTCTTTGAAGCAACAATTCGCAGATGTTAATTATCAGTATCTATCGTTTGTCTTTGTCTATCACTAAAGATCCATATATTTATCGCCAACAGTTACGGCGCAAAATTTATCATACGACATGTCGATATTCACGTGATCATTATAAACGTATTTCAAGTTGGTACCATCCTATTTGGACAGAATCAGCAGGTCCGCGTTGTCGCATTTTAGATATTTAGGTATCCTTGCGTGTGATAAAAAAGCAATCGACTTTCATGTGGCAGCCTATTGAGAAATATTTTCTCATCGCATTCTGCTTGTCACATGCTACGTCATAAAGATAAAAGAATTTGTACGCACTTCACTCAGTGAAACAACTCGCTGTTGTTGGAAAATGTAAAGTAATCAATAAAAAAATTAATAAATTTTCGAGATATCGTACTTTAGTTGTTGCAGTTGCAGTTGGGTAGACATATACGTTTTCAAAATGTACGCCATTTAGGCTTTCGAGCAAGCTTATAAGAACTATGGTTTTACCGCAATTTGATGGAGAAATGATTATGCATATAGTATTTGGCAGCATTTCGCCGTACTTGCGCCTTTCTGCGTTGTCCCATCACTCGTGAATTTTTCGTCGCAGTTCGTAACGCGTATTGTACACCGAGATAAAAAATATTTGGAATTTGTAACTATAATTATATATTATAAGAATTATGATTATTATTGCTATAATAATAATAATAATGTAACAAATTGTATATAGTTGGAAACCTAAAATGACTATAATTATAGTTATTGTAATTATAAACAGTTGAAATTAAATATAAAAATGATTCAAGTGATTATAATTTTTCAGTTATATTTTGGGACACCATTTTGTATATGGCAATATATAATTATAATTATAAATATTTTTTCAGTGTAAGCGGTTGCCATACGAATTTTATGTTCGAGCTACAGACTATTAAACGTCTATTTAATGACGCGCGAACCCGCGAGTCGCGCAGTAACAAAAATGTATCTCGCGTTGTGCCAGTTTTTTCGACATTTAGGACTTGAGCATCAAGCAGTATATATCGAAGATCGTACTCTTACGCATGTACGATGAACTATATCGATCGCATGTAACATGACAAGTTTCCGGAACACATGAAGGCGGATCTAGAATTCGAACCTATTGTCGCTGCGATGAGCACTATAATCAGCCGTGACAGCGAGCGCACATTGGTCCGGCATTGAAGATAAAGGATTGTAGCGAATGTCAGCGTCGGGCGGCAATCTGTTGAATCGAACGATAAACGCGGTTCCTTTCGAGTTACATATATAGCTGTATCGATGATAAAGCGCTAGGACCCAAGAAATTCGGTTCTTAGCAAGAAAGCCATCTGGGTAGCGATGAAAGTCAAGACCAAAAAAGACGACGAGAAAGAACACGATCGAAGAAGACGAGAAAAAAGGCAACAAAATAACGAATACTTCTTACGATGAAACGTGAGGCGGCGCGTTACTTCTGCCAATGTTGAGAGCACTCGGATCCATAATCAATGGAACGACCAGCGTGGTGAAAACGGTAAACGATGGTAAAGCTGCGCGGCGTCAGATCGAGGAACTGCAACGTCACGATCTCGCGATGGAATAGCGTGCTGTCTCAGGCTGGATCTCACTTCATACAAATGCGGACGCGGACTGTATCTCGGCACATATAAAGACAGAGTGTAACAGCGAAGAAGACAAAACGCCAAAAAGACGATAAAAATGCCCGCGGGCGCAACTATTGATGTACTATTAAAAGAGTTTGCTTTATGCGCATACCATACTTTAGAGGTGTTTTCGTGCATAAAAGTACATTCATATACAAATGTCAAGCGTTAAATAGCGGAACCAATCTACGAAGTGATTTTTACAGTAAAAAAAATATTTTTTACATCATTGCCAGTATTGCTCAGCTGATTTGTTATTTCGATTGACGATTGACACTTGGATATGACACCTTAATGCGTTACCGATGAGCGGCGCGCGCCGAAACAAAAGTGGCGTAAATTTAGATGATACGACAAGTCCCGATACTCACTGGATAACATAGGAATGACCTTCGTGTAATTTGATAGTTTCGGTAATGTTCGACTGTCGAAGGAATTGCGATATTTCGAAAATGGTGTTACGATAGAATACAATCGCATGTCTTATCAGACGTTCGATCAAAATTTCTACAGAACGTCAATGTGAATATAAAAAGTTCGACGAGATGTCTTGAAATCTAAGTATTTGTTGAATGTTTTTTCGATTATGTCGCTGACACGCTGAGCGAAAAAAGCAGCATCCTCACGGTGAACTATTGTACATTCCGGTCATACGTTTGAATGATGATAATTATGAGTTCAGCTTGATGATTTTTGATATTTATCACACGATACCGAATGTCAAATAACAAATTTTATTTCGGCGATAACAACGCAGAAATTACAATTTCCGAGAATTCGTACGAAGTGCGAGACGTAAATGAACTTTTGTAACGT